TCCTTCTCCTTGACTCTGCCCTCCACACCGCTGCCCAAGGATGCAAGAGGAGTATCTTAGGAAGTATCCATAGACTGGCTAGGCAAGTTGATTGGGGTCCGCCTAGCTTGTAGCTTCTCATAGAAGTGGGGCATGTTTGCAGAAATGATTCAGACCATTCACTTGCCTCCTTTGCCTTCTGGTACAAAAGCCTCAGTTCCTTATTTGTGTGTGCCAATGCTGGGTGTCCCTGGAATATCCTCACTTTTCCATGCCCTCTGCGATCAAGGCATATAAAGCAGTGTTCCTTTTCTGGCTTGTAGTTCTACAAGAACAGATTCCACTCCCCACACAGCTCTGAGGTCCAGGATCTCTTGCATGCTCCATGCTGGTATTCATCTGTGACCCTGGAAACTCGTAGGGTCAGGTGTGCTGCTTAGGTGTGCTGCCTGCTCCAAGATCTGCTCACCATGCTGGAAATGAAATTCAAATTTTCCCAGAGGTTCTCCTGTTCACCTGCAGAGCAAGAGTTGACAGTCCAGGCCAGAGCAGTCACCACAGCACACTGTGGAACACTTCCTGGAGGCTAAAAACTTCAACTTTCATATCGCTGCTTCTGCACTACCATAAGGATGACTACGCATGGTTGAATTTCACGTCACTCCTCATGAAAAACAGGAGTACCGAAACTGACTTTCATGGACGTTAAAGTCGTCGAAACAGCCTTGGTGGTGTGGACTTGTTTAGAAATATGACCTAAACTCCCAGGGCAGACCAGGTCTAAGGAATGTAAGATCATTTTCACCTGCTTTCTTGTTTAACTTATTCTCAAATATCTGAGAAGTCTTAATGAATTACATAAAACATGGATAACTTACTTAATACTCGAATCGCTTCTTCACATTGTTTTGAACTTTTCCTATTGGGGCCCATTCTTCTTGGTACCATGCAAAGCACAAAGACATGGTCCCTGCTTCAAAAAGCTTGTTAAGATGTTACATGACAGACAAGGAGATACAGTATTTGCTTGTAATATAAAAATATACAATTTGTGAATTATTAGAACAGATTGGACCTCTCTGATTCAACATCCTCGGGACCTGACCAGTCCTAAACCAGGAAATTTGCCAGACTTGAGAAGGTTCACTGCCATAGCTCCCAGCTCCAGGAGGGCTCCCCACTACCTCCATCCCTGGCCAGGCTGCCTGTTGGGTTGTTGACCCTGTTACTGCTCCCCTGACTGGATTGTCTGCTAAGCTCCAGCAACCCACAATGCCACAGGATTCGACAGGCTCCAGCCCTGCGCTTCCAGAGCTACCAAGGGCTCAGACTCTGGTCCCAGCCCCAAAGCAGCCTGCAGGTTCTGACCACACTTCCACAGGCTACCAAGAGCTCCAGCCCCACATTGACGGGGGCTGCTGGAGCTACTACCAGCCCTGGCCCCACTGTCACGGACTGCCAAAGGCTTGGGCTGATGCCCCACAGCAGCCCACAGACTCTGGCCCCGCTTCCGTGGGCTGCTCAGGGCTCTGGCTCCGCACTGCACTCTCATGGTCTGTCGCCGGCCCAGTTCTGCGCTGTTGGAGGCTGCCCCGTGCCACAAGCTGCCAGGGGCTGCTGCCAGATCCAGTTCCACTGTTGCAGGCTGCTGGGGGCTGCCACCACACCCACTCCCTGCTTCGTCCTGCTGCTTTAGCCTGGTCCCTCCTGAATTACCCTCCTGCCATTAGGCTACTGGGAATCCTGATCCAGGAATAGTCATGGTCTTGCAGGACCACAGATATTGCCAGACCAGAGAATTCTGGTTTTGGGAGGTGCAACCTGTAGACTAAGTAAGTGCCAGCTATCTCCATCTGCCCATTTCTTAAATGTGTCATAGCAGAAAGAAAAGCTTTAGTGCACAAAAATATTGAAATCTAGTATCCAACCAAATCAGATGTAATTAGCTTACTAATATTGATGGCAATTAACCATTTAAAGCAACTGTGCATCAGCGAGAGAACATATGCCTAGAGTTAGTGCTATTAATTATAGCCCATTTCAAAATCAAGAGGTTTCAGCACACTAATTGAAAATTGTTCAATAAAATACAGCCTATTTAATTCTAATTTTGTTTCTAGACAAATATTAAGCAGAACTACTACATTTGACCATCATACTTGCAGATTCAAGGGTTTGCTTGCATAACACATCTTCTTACACTACAGCTATGTCTGCATAACTAGTTATGACAAAATTACAGAACGGACCTTAACTGAATTCCATAACACGGTCAGAGCTTTAGCCTACTTATGAAACCGTGTTAAGATCTAGTCTACACTACAGTACTATAAAATGGAACAATACTGTAACCAGGTCACAGATCAGCTGTGTTAGGACTGTAGCATAGACAGACCCTTTTTTAGTTGGACACTGTTGGGGCAGAAAGGTGACAGATTGAGAAGTTTGGTGTCAAAGGCTGTCAGTAAAAGGGTCTCGACCAGTACCAACTTCTCAAAACTGCCATAGCATATATATTTTCCTCTTGACCTAGAAGGCTCACTTCTAGTGGCTGCAAGGGTAGTTCACTTCCTGGTAATTCAGTACTTTGCCTCTGCTGAGGATACCAATAAAGGTACCAATCAGAGCCAAGTATGAGCCTTCTGACTTTAAAAGCATCTAAAAAGGCACCATAATGTCATCTGACCACATTCTAATTTCCGCCAAAAAAAGTTTTCAAAGAATTAGTTGTGTGCTTTAAAAAAAAATAAAAAACATAAAACCCACACTTTTGTTCTGGTAGAAGGATTTTCTGAATCTTTCAATTTTGTCTTGTAAAATCTAGAAGTTAAGGAGGAGAGAAAACTCTCTGATTAAATTATTTTATGCCACGTTAGTCCCAAAACTGTTTTTAATCACAAACTTACAGGGACACTAGCAGTTTTCACAGACACACTAACTCTTATGGACAATACTTTTTAAAACTGTTACTTTTTCAACACCCAACACTGCTGTAATATATTAGAGAAAAAAGTCTGTTTTAGTTTGTGTACTTGGCAAGACTTGTAGTATACAGTTAAGCAGTTTCCCCTACCAGCTAGGGATGTAAAAAGTTAACTGTTTAACTGGTCACCTGGTAAGCTTATTGGAATGCTTGCCGGGTAACTGGTTAGACAACCAATCGCGTCAGACTGAAGCTGCCCTCGCTGAGTCTCGCTGGCTGCAAGGGGGCAACAGGCGGGACCATACCTGTGTCTACTCCCCCACCCCAGGCCCTGGCCGCGCTGGAGCATCGTGAATGGCCATGCCAGTGCAGAACAGGCGGGATCCCAATCTCAGCCGTGCTGGAGCAGCCTGGGCATTCAGATGGAACTATGACGTGACCTCGGCTGCACAGGCACTGCACAGTGGTATCCCGACCCCAACCATGCTAGCGTGGACTGGAAGCCCAAGCTGCGCTGGGTCATGAGGAAGGACCTGGCCCTTGCAACAAAGCCCAGGAGGACAGCAGGAACCTAACCCCGGGGGCTGCTTTCCACCTGCCTGCCAATGATTAACAAGTCTAATTTTATCCGTTTAACCAGTTAACTATTCTAACAGTTTTTTACATCCCTTATCTTTGTATGGGTCTTTTACACAATACAATAAGGAATAACAGGAGAGAACTTTGGAAAGTGTGACTAAAAATCACAAAAATTGCCAGGGATACATCTGTACCTGAGTAATAACAAACTATTTTAAACTTAGAAAAAGACAGCAACAAATAAACAGAACAAAAATATATTTCAGAATGATGGTGTCTAACATGGAATTAAACAAACAGAAAGTTCAACAAATGTTTAATAACATTGCTACAAAGCAATTTTGTAGTATTATTTAACAAACAAACAAAAACACCTACCACTCTGGCTGCTCTTTCTTGAGATTCACACTTCCTGCAAAACCAAGGTCCAGTAGGTACTTGAACAATTCCATAGCAAGCTGTTTCAGACAAGATAAAATATTTTAGCAATCATAATGCAATTCTACAATATGGTTCTACTTTGCTCTGTTATAACTAATTCATTGACGGAGCTTGAAGCATTTACTCCCCCCTAAAATCTACTTCTATGGGTAAAACATGTTATTCCCAATAAACTGTCAAAATTACCACTCAAGCTAGTAGTCAAGTACAAACTACTTAATCTGTAAGTTTATGCAAAATACTTGTTTTGATTAAGTAAAACAAACTGCAATTTACCTTACTCTGAAAACAAAAATTGTTCAAATATAGTTTAGATGTTTTACATGCAGTATGTTTTGCTGTTTAATTTAGGATAGAAGACAGCTTCACAAAACCACATCTGTCTTTTGTAGTGTTAAAAAATTTTTAAATAAAAGTTTATTGCGTTACACTAGAACTGGAAAAAATGGTCACAAAAATAACATTTAACTTCAATAACATGACTTTTTGTGCACTTGCGCACTGCAGCAAGCACAAGATATTTCTAAACGTAGAAATAATATTTTGTCTCACGAGGCAAGTGAAGTTACGGATATGACAAAACTGAACAAGATCAAAACTAGATTTGAAGTCACAATACATTTTAATGCCTCAATCTTTGAAACATTGCACTTATAAATTACTTGCACTATTAAGTAGCCCAAGTTCAAAGTAAACTCTTGTAGGTTCTGATTTTACTATAGTCCTGATTTTGAAAGCATACATGTGAATCCCTTTATTCCCATATGTAGGGTTTACTGACTTCAGAGGGGCTAAACGTAAATATAAAAGTCTCTCTATTCGGATCACCTTGCTGAATTCGGGTCTAAGTTTGTCTGGTGTATAACAAAAGAGGGTCCTAGCAGGATGTGTTTAATAGTTTAAATATTAAATATCCATAACAGGAAACTCAAAGTAATAGTTCTCATAGCACCAGTAATGGTGTCCCCTGGGAACCTCAAGTACAAATATTTGTATAGACAGGTTTATTTGTAATGCCTCTGTACATACAACAAAGTCAAATTATGTTTCCCACAGAATAATTTTGAATTTGACTTTCTACACTTCAGATATCAAATGCTGTATGAACCCAGTTTATGAAATACATTTTGCTTGCAGTGCCAGATTATTTCAAATTCTAAATATACAGTCAGGTAAAAAGTAGCAATTAAAAAGTCACCTGACAAATTAGCTGCAAACAACAAAGAGGAGTGGAGGGGGAAATACAACTAACTAGTAAAATACTCTAATACAGGGTATGTCAACACAACTGAAATTTGGAGAAAACTGAATTTTTGTTTTAAGTTTTACAGCGACTTCTTATTTTTGTACTTTTTACACCCAAAAATTTCATCACCCGCCTGGCTACGATGAAGTTGTTTAAACAAATATGTTGCCATGGTACAAAAAAATTGTGTGTCTGAAAACTGTAGGTACTAGGGGTACTTATTATTCCCTTTTATTATTTGTGTAGGTTAAAGTTCTGTAATATAGATGTAATGAAGAGAAAACATTTTTCTTCATTGACCTACCACAAACTAAAATTGGCAAAGACAAGCAGAGAGGGAGATACTTCCCACCTCCCAAAAAACAAGAAATTTGGCATAATAACTTGTTTGCACAGTCAAGTAAATATGCACTACATTTGAAGATTCAAAATATCATCAGAAAGGATACAACAATTCTGACCTTACTGTTGAAGACCTGTCTCAGCACATATAATTGGAAATTGGCAATAGTGCAGAATAGGGATGTTAAAATGTGTTCATTTTAGTAAACTTGTACCCATTGAAATTATCAGCGGGTACATGTTTACACACAAGGGGAAAGCTACTCCACAGGAGCTGCCCCTCCTCCCACACTGCTGATTCGCAGAAGCAGCTGTCAGGGGGCAGGAGAGAACCAGTGCTCACGGGGAGCCAGCTTTTAAGCAGAATCTGGGAAAGGGGGAGAGGCAGGCACCTCTGCAAGAGCTAGTACGCATGGAGAGCCAGCTTAAATGCCAGCTCTCACCTGTCCCCACGAGCTGCTTCCTCTGTATCAGAGGCAGCAGTGCGGGGGCGCATGCAGCTCCACAGGAGCTGGTGTTTGCGGGGAGCCTGAGACAGAGGCAGCAATGTGGGAGGGAAGGGGGGCTGCATGTAACTGTGAAGGTTAACCAATGAGCTTGGGCTCATCAGTTAACCATTTACACGATTACACTATCATATCCCTAGTGCAGAGAAACATAGCATATAATATAAGGAAGTAAATGATAAGGGAAATTCAGGGAGTGAGGTTGGTAAGTCAGTTCCAGGTCCATCACAGGTAGTGACATTCCTCATTTGAAATGTAAGGTAAGTTCCAAATATATTTGCATCTGTGTCTTGAATATCACTCCTGTGCATTAACAAATTTAAAGATTGTTTGTTGTTCAATATATGATTTCCTTATGATTACATTTTTGTTATTTCTACATAAAGTTTCTTCAATGAGTTAAGAGGATTTATCTTCTCAGAGGATTAAATAATTAAATTTTAAAGAAGCTTCTTCAGAACTGACAAGAGTGACAGCCTCGTATCTGAGAAGTCTGATATGCAAATAATTATAACTTCCCAAAAAAGGAGATGTTTAATTTTTAGACTATTAAGTAGCATGAAAATTCAGCCCCAAAAGGGTATCAGGACTGTTGTAAGCATTCTAACTGACTTTTAAAAAATGCAAGTGCCTCCTCTATCAGTTCCACAATGTCAACTGTGAAGATCTGCACCATTTTTAATAACATACACTCAAAATAAACTTTAGGGCTAGATCTACACTGGCATGATTTTCCGAAAATGCTTTTAACGGAAAACTTTTCCGTTAAAAGCATTTTCGGAAAAGCTCGTCTAGATTTTCGGAAAAGCACGTCCGTGGCCAATCTAGACGTGGTTTTCTGCAAAAAAGCCCCAATCGACATTTTTGCAATCGGGGCTTTTTTGCGGAAAACACTACTATGCTGTTTACACTGGCCCTTTTGTGCAAAAGTCTTTCGGAAAAAGACTTTTGCCCAAAAGGGAGCAGCATAGTATTTCCGGAAAATCACTGACGGCCTTACATGAGATCGTCAGTGCTTTTCCGGAAATTCAAGCGGCCAGTGTAGACAGCTAGCAAGTTTTTCCGCAAAAGCAGATGATTTTGTGGAAAAACTTGCCAATCTAGACACAGCCTAGCTGTAAATATGGTAGACTTAGGCAGTAATTCTTCCTTTTTTGAAACCACCACAATAGTGTTTGACTTCAAAAAATGTAAGAGTATCATCATCATCAGGTTTTATTACTGAAATTGCATCTTCCCTTCCATATTTGGATTTTGAATAAACATAGTTGCAATTCAGTTATGTCCAATTTAAGATTCCCTGTCTACATTAGGGACATTTTCCAATACTTTCCCCACATTGCTAACCCTAGTTTAACTCCACAGGCAATAGAAATACTGAAGATCATAAGACAGAAGTGCTGTTACCACTTTTTTCAGCATTTTCATATGATCCCGCTCAGAGCACCATATGTATAACCCTAGACCTCCCGAGGTTACCAACACTTACGAAGCTAAACTGGTGTTAGCAAAAGTAAACATATTTATTTTTGCATGAACTAAGTTTGGTAAAAGTGACTGCCTCCTTCTCCTTCTGAATACAAATAGTCTTTATGTTCTGGTCATTCTTCTCTTATTCTAAACTACATAAAAACAAAAACCCAAAATCTTGATGCAAGCATAACTATAGGCAAAGGAGGACACCTTTCAGCATCAGCTCCACTCTGGAAACAGGACAACACTAAATCAAAAACAGACTCACTACATTAGGTACTCTTCAGCCTGCCTTCAGTTCAGGACACTAAGTTCTTTACAAGGGATAATTTAGTTCCCTTTGCGGGTCTATCTGAATTGCCCCCACTTTTATTTTATCAACTGGGGAGTAAGCTTCATAAATACAATGTATGTATGTTATGAACTGTTTTGCATGTAATACAAATGCAGGAGTGGAAAATATTTAATCAGTAAAGTACAAATGCCTCAATCTCTCACAAATCTCAGGTACTCAGATGAATGAGCTGAATAAGACACCAGCTTCTCCACTGCTCTTACTTATACAATATATTTTTTTAAATTCCATATTTTCTGATTTATTTTAGATACAGTCACCTTGGAGTTGGAGGAAAGAGAAACTACAAACAGCCCTTACAGTTCCTTATTTCTGCTCTTCATTTAGAAGTTATGATTATTTTGTTCCTTTTCTAGTCAGGTGAAAACACCACAAACCAGTCTGTCCTCCTCCCAAAGTAAAGGCAACCCAATGACAGCAACACAGTAATCATACATACATTTTGCACCACAGTCAGAGCTGGATACCCACCAATCCCCTCCACTAATCCAGGCAGATCCAAGACCAGTTAGTAATACCAGCCCCTCTCCACCACCAAAACCACTACAACTGGAAGTCTCCACAGCTACCAGACACTATCAG